TAATTATTATTAATAAACACAAATTGTTATTATAATAATGAAATTAGTCGTAATGTTCACAAGCGACAATGATCGTTAATAATCATTTATGTATATGATTATTACTGGTAATTATCATTAACGATAATGATCATTACCAATATGATCTTCTCTTGATAATTTTTCTCATGCTTATTAACGTAAGAGTAAAATACTCATGTTGTCTTGTTCTCTTTAAAATTGTTAAGTACTAAATTTACTCTTGCTATATATTTTATAAAATAAATAATATTTAAGAGCACTTTATTTTATTTACCTCTTTGTAATACAGTTAAGTTATTTGCAAAGTGTGCTTAGTGTTTGTCATAGGCAGAGAATCTCTTCTCTTTATTTTCATTTTTAAAACATATTTTTATACATATAGAATAATATACATATGTAATATATATTTATATTTAAATTTATATTTAAAAAATATATATAAACAAAAATATATAAATGAATTATATATATAAATATATTTAATAGCAATAACAGTTACATTGACAAATGTGTGCTAAATAATCTAGTTATTTATATTTATGTAAAATAAATATTTATGACAATTTTCTCTCTTTAAAAATAGAAAAATTGTCTAAAATAAATAAAAAAAAAATTGTAAGAGATCAGAAAAATAATAAATAAATATGTCAATAGTTAGACCTATACTTACTATATACCTATATACCTATAGGGCTATTCGAGCAACTTATTAAAGCTGCAACTGAAGTGCAAATAGAATCGGAAGTTTTTTAATTTATTTTTAATAAGGATCGTCAAAAAAGTTAAGTAACCAAATAAAAATATCCTGTTTTCTGACCATTTTATCAAACAAAAAGTTAAAGAATACTACTTTTAAGCAATTCTAATCAAAATCAACTTCAATGCTTATACCACTGATTCACAACTTCACATTATTACAGGGTATCCCGAATGCGTAATAAATCAGTTCTAACTGTGTTCGGTTTTTGGAACTGGTAAAGTTCTGATTTTAATTTAGATAAAGTGCGCTATGGAAATCAGCAGCAATGGCATTTCGCGTAACTCCACTTGGTTTATCCAAGCTGAAATCAACAGCACAAAACTAAACACTCCATAAACACCCACGCACACACACACACATATACATACTGAATGGTAGGAGGTGGCGGGACATCAGGTAAAGCTGTAAATAGCGCGCTTTCATGTAGATAATTAATCACTGGGCACTGCTAACAATTTTCTGCGAGTTATTTGCAACCGCTTTTTGCATTTTCCTATCCCTGAAAAGTTTGACTCGCTTTTGCGTTTGCGTTTCGGATTTGTGTTCCAGTTGAAGCTTGAATTGGGCAGAGCAAGGCAGGGCGGCTGGGGTGAGGGACAGCGGGTGGTCTTGTGGCTTGTTTTGCGGGCAATCTAAATGCAGTTTTATGCAAATTTATTTCTGATCTTATCGCACAATTTTCAAGTTCTCAGCCATGGAATGGACGACGGAGTGAGTCAGAGAGAGGAGTAGTGCATTGTGTAGTTTTGAATTTATTGCTTAAGCTTTCATGGCAGGCGCGGAAATGAAATCAATTATACGCCCTGTTGGCCATTCGATGCACGAAAGGAAATCGAAATTATACGAATTAAATGAAAACGATTAAGCATTCGCTGGATACAGAAAGAGCCATATCTGAAAGGCAAGATTTTAAGCAAGATACGACTTCCCAATAATCAATTAGATTTAGTATTTAAATAAATATATATATATGAATTGTTTTGTTATATAAAGACATTCTCTTTGTCTGTTCTTTTTAAGAAAAGTTTAATCAATTAGCATACGTAATTTGCGAGCTGTATTCAGTTCGGTTCCGTTTCTTATAGATTCAAATCAAAGACGAAAATTGCCAACGAAAACTGTTTGAACACTGAACACACATATATAGCCAAGCATGGACCGAACTGGACTGGCAGGGAGAATGGCATCAATATTTGGTGATGAGGCTCCACCAACACTCTCTGGCACTTGAGTTGCAAATGGCAAAATATTTAAATGTAACTCAATTTGGAGCGCGCTGGAAACCACTGCCACAATAAGGATGCAGGACAACAGAGCAGCGCTGAAGACAGCAAATGTGTGTCCTTCTACCCATAATAACAAGATATTTCTATTTGATTTATTTATAAGTGCAATTTGTGCACATTTCTTTTGCAAAACTCTCGCATTTCCCACTGCCTTTTGAGCTTCGACACACACACGCACACAGACTTCCATACATTTGAAATGGGGTGTGGTCTTCTGACTGCAGGGAAATGCAATGTTTTATTGACGACAGGCAATTCAATTTGCAAAGTCTGTAATATATTTTGATGCCAATGCGCAAATAAAAATTGAAATCAAATGCAAAGCATAGCTGAAAATCAAATAAAATAAAAAATTCAAATGGCAACGGCTGTTTGAGGGCACTTCTTGAGTTGCCACGCCCCTAGAACGCTTCGCTCTATCAAAATTGGAAATATCATTGAAAACTCTCGATTGCATATTACATTCATAATCTGAATCAGTGCGTAGAGGTGGAGTTTTTGAAAGTAACATTCACTTCTCGAATACTGAGAAGGGCACCCTCCTATCTGATTTGTTATATAACAATTGGATTACAAATAATAAAGAAATTAATTAGTGAATTCTTTACAATCTAAAGAATTCAGCTTTCATTCACCTGATAAAATGCATAGCTCATAAATTAACGGATGAGTTCGTGGCCATAACTATTGGCCACACCTTTAGGCAAATGTTAAACGATTCCGACTTCTGGAAACGGAGTAAATAAACGCAAGAGAATTATTAATGCGGACACCTTATCAAAAAATGGCAGCAATCAGCACGCTCAGTTAGCACCTCATTACAGGCTCAAAAGGCGAGCAGGGTGCAGGCAGTCAAGCTTATTGCTGACCAACCCATACACTCACACACGCAAACACACACATTCGCTCACACACACGTTAATCGTGGCATTTCCTTTGCAGCTGCAGCTGATAGGGGAGAGCGCAGGGTGGACACCCGTCAAAGCCAAGTGGCGTGTCAATTGGCCATTAACATGGAGTTCAGCCCGATAAATATAAGCACTAGGAAAAAAGCGCCGGGCACAGCGCTGTGAGCCAGACCAGGCCGTGTCCTGATTGATGCTAAAACGGTGGCTGGCTGGGCCACCTGTCCTAAGCTTTTTCCTCCGGTCAGCTTGAAAAATCTTTCAGCTGAAGGGTTTTTTCTGTTGTGGTTGTTGTTGTTCCTTGTGGAAGGGATGTCGTTCTGTTGTCAAGGGATGTGGCTACACGTTAACTTTGCCGAGCGTCAGACGAAAATTTTTAATTAAAAAATTAAATGCGGCAACACTTGGAAATTTGTAAGAAAATTGCTCATTAAAAGTTTTCACCTGGCGAGATGCTCAAAAGCGCAAATCTCGACACTAATTTTCTTTTTCATGTAATTATGTGCAGCAACAAAAACTGCCATAAGTTCGAACTAGAGTGTGAGACTTGCAAATACCCTGTGATTTAAAATTTTATATTTTTTTAATTGCTCTTTTTATTTTAAATTTGACGAAATTATGAGACAAATATACGACCATTTATTATATATGTTTGTTTATTATATATAAAATATTAGACAAATTGAGAATTATTCTAACTTAATTAATACTATATACCATAGGATACACAAGATTATAAAAGCTTAGAGAATATAAAAATATGTCATATAAAAGATAAAATATTAAACAAATGGAAAATATTTCAATCCAGATAAAGACGAAATTTATTTATTATAAATTTATTTATATATTAACCATAGAAAATGCTCTTTCTTGTTAAATCTGAACTTATTTAAATTAAAACAAGAATTTTAAATAATTGAATACTAAATAAATATTGAAAATAATAATAATAATTAAATATTAAATTAATTTAAAAAATAATAATTAAAGACTAAACGAATTTTGAAATACTCTCCTCATCATACATATGAAATTAAATACTTAATATTTAAAACAATTAATTTAGACAGAACACAACTTCATTCAAGCTGACTAAAATAATATATATATACTAAATCCATAAATATTGTACCCATTCACCTAACATTGAAACTACCCACTACTCTCACACAGTTACACGGTATAAAGCCTTGCTCTTGTGCTGCATGCAATTGTTTTTTTCCAGCGCTTTACACCCAATTTTCTGTGCACATTTATTGTGGCAACTCCATCCCTGCTGGAAAGCAACTGTAGACAGATGAAGTTGAGGCTGAATTTGTTGAACTCTTGACACGATTTCTGAGTTGGCCATGAGGTGCACGCTATAGATATAGATTTTTAGACCCAGTAAGCCTACGGACTACTAAAATTAAGAAAAATTGCTATTGCCAGACTCGCGAAAAATCTGCAAGTTGATTCAGATATGGCTGATTATACGAACATATTCAGATGCCGCCGTATGGTCGTTGTGATGGAGACAACCATTCCGGCCTGCAGGGGAAGTGGCAGATATGCCCAACTGAAGAAATCCTATCATAGCTGGTATTGATGTGTGCCTGTGTATGCATACATATCTATTAATAAATCTTCATAAGCCGACAGCTAGAGCAATTGACGTTTTATGTTCGAGTTTAGGTTTGGGCTTAAGCAGATCTGTTATTATGTTATGTTATATGGTCGTCAAGGGAGATGGGGCATACGTGGGTGGTCAGAGTACTGCAGGCTAAATCAAAAGTGTCTGTTCGGTGTCAGTTTAATTGCAAACGTAAATTGGATGCTGCCATTTACAACGTTTTCATTTGCTACGAATGCTGCAATGCTCCTGCTGCAATGTTGGCTCTGACAGACATTTCTGGCAGATGCTTCGAGTCCAGGACACCCACACACACACACACACGCAGAGAGAGAGAGAAACGAGAACAAAATGCAAACGTTGCACAAATCTGAGTTGTGTTAATTGGACTCATTTTAGAAAAGTTGCAATTGTGTATTTTGAATTGGCAGCTCGGACAGTTGACACGCTGCAAAATGGATTTGCAATCAGAGATTTCTGGCCATAAGAAAATACCTTATTTATTACAAGCCTCGTGTGTATAGAAAATTCACATTGTATTCAAATTGTTTTGTTCAAGATAGTTGGGCTGGCTTCAATTTGCTTCTTGTTGTCGACGCCACCGTCGGGTGGCTTTTTCTTGACTTTGCTGTGATCCTTAATGATGCGCCAGTCATAAATGCCGTCCTGAACATATCTGAGGCGATTGAATAGATCGCTGAAGCTGCGACGCAAGCCCAAATAGTTGGGCTGCTTCTCAAATCTGATATTACGACAGTAGATTAGATACGCGGCAAACTCGTCTGGGAATCCCTTGCACAGCTCCTCCGGCTTGATGGACTGCTTCTTCTCGGCCAGCATCTCGTACTTCTGATGCCGCGGCCCCGACAGGCCCTGCCAGGGTAAGCTGCCGCGCAGAAAGTATATGAGCACGTAGCCCAACGCTTCCATATCGTCGCGACGGCCAAGCTCGAAGCCGAGCAGCGCATTGATGGAGGCGTAGCGAGCCGTGCCAGTCATCCGATTGCCCCACTTGAAGGGTATGTGCTCATGACGTGCGGAGTCATAGTATTCCTTAGCGAGGCCAAAGTCAATTATAAACAATTGATTGCTATCAGCGCCGACGAGAAAGTTCTCTGGCTTAATGTCACGATGCAGATAGCTCTTCAGATGCACATACTCAATGCGCTCGATCATCTGGAATGCCAGCATCAGCACCGTCTTCAGCGAGAAGCGACGCGAGCAGAAATTGAACAAATCCTCCAGCGACGGCCCAAGCAGATCCATGGCCATCACATTGTACTTGGGCTCGGCAAAGAAGTGGTGAACACGCGGAATTCCAACGGCCGGCAGCAGGCAGTTGTACAAACGGTACTCGAAGTGCAGCTGCGGTCGATTCACATTATTCCGTTCCAATTTGAGGGCAACGCGCTGACCACTCGTCTCGTTCACGGCCAGAAAGATGTCGCCAAAGCTGCCGCTGCCAATCTTACTGATAATGCGATATTGGCGTATGTAAACGGGCACGTTCGCATTTCGATTGAGCTGACTAAGCACGACAGTCGACATGGGAAAGTCAATTTTCCAATTTCCTTCTTTATATTTTATGGTTCTCGCTGTTTGACGTAGTTGCAGCTGATTTTTCTATCGTTTTTTTATTGTGTTACGTTTTTATCTTTTCAAAATTATCGATTTTATTTCGAATTTCGTATCATTGCGTTTGTCGGTGATTTCACTGTTCACATTTCCCAAGATGCCGCTGAATTTCAACGTAATGCGCCGTCATTACGAGAAGCGTATCAAAGAGCTGGAACAACAGGTGCTGGACACCTCGCGACTACTGAACATACTGAAAAAGGAGCGCAGTTCTGCCCTGCCGCTTAAGGAGAAGAAGTTCATTAACTATATGCAAACGGATACGCATTTCTGTTGGTGTTTCGACATGACCGAGTTTCCAGTGGGAAACATCAAAGTCGAGCTAAGGAATCGACGCGTTCAGATATTCGCCCATCGCCAGCGGCAAGATCAATTCATGGTGGTCCATAGACAGTTCCAGTTGCCAGAACTTGCTGACATCGGTCTGACTGCCAAACTAAGCGCCACTGGCATTTTGACTATAAAAGCTCCACTTAGGATCATAGCTGACTAGAATGCAGACAAATTGATTCAATTATATATATATACATTTATATATATATATATATAAATATGTGTTTATTTTATGTCTTTTTTATAAATATATATTTTCTGAAGATTTATATATTATTTGAGTTTGGTTTTACAGCGGTTTCCAGCAATTCATGTAGCAAGCTATAGTTGGGTAAGCGGGGCACGCTAGATTGCTTGGACAACAAGGGAATATCACAATCTGTGGCGTCGGCTTTAGATATGGTAATTGAACATTCAATCGATGCTCGTTTTCCATTTCACTTAAAAGTTCCATTTTCAGTTCCTCCAGATATGATGGAGAAGCATCCTTAGGTTGAGCCGAATTGCAGCATTCATCCTGACTTTCCAATTGCGGCTTCGAACTGACTCGAACCGGTTCTACGTTCCCATTCTCTAATTTCGTCGGAACATTTGGCACCTGGCAATGCACCGCGTTCGCCTGTGCTGACTCCAGATTCAGTGAAGAATTGTTTTCAATTATATTGTGAAGCGAATTGCTATTAGGATTAATGCTTATACACGTTGAAAGTGTGGTCTTTGGCATTAGGTAGTTTTGAGTATGAGACCCAGTATTGGGCGAAATGTAACCTGCATAGTTGCGAACGCTACCATAGTCGTTTTCTGGATGCATTTTTTTCGTAGGCAATTGAGGAGTCGAAGTCAATTTTTCTATGGAATTGGAAGGATTTGGTATTGTTGGTTTGCTAATGTTACGCTGGCTGTCTTTATGGTCTGACGGAACGGATTTTTGTTGTCCTGAATGCAACTGAGCATAGGAGACTTTATTTTCAAATGGCAAACTTCTTGGCTCCGAAATACGGCATTGTTTAATGCTTGATGAGCTCAAGCTGCAGTTGGAAGGCTGTTTCGGTGCAAAGGGGGTTTCCGGTTCATTATTTGGTTTCGAAACGGGTTCGGCCTCAGGGTTTTGTTTACAGCAATTGTTGGTGCATTCAATCACAGAATTTGCAACACTTAGATCTTCTTCTGTATCATTTGGATCGTTGCCCGCATCCGAGTTGACATCCTGATTGTTAAACCTAATACAGCTATGACTGGCATCTGCTTTGGCAGTGGCCCTAGAGCACGTCTCTTTAGCAATAACTGTATTCTGATATAAAATCTGATCGGGTGGCAATCTATTCTCCGTTCTCCTACAATATTCACTGTTGTTCATAATAAGTTCATCATTCATGGCAGAGTCAAGCTCAGGATTATTTACCTTTTCGCGCATAACTCTGTAGACAGTTGGATAAACGTTGCATCTGGTTTTCTTATTCGAAGTAGGGTAGCAAACCTGTTTTCTATGCCAAGCTCTCGGATGGTGGGTGCTCACAATTATACGGGATGCGTTACTTACGGACTTGTAGCTGTGCATGCCGGCTTTACACGATAAAATGTTATTAAAACTCGAAACAGAACGCTCCTCCCTACCGCCACAGTGATGCTGAGGTTTACATTGTATTCCATACTTAGGCTTAGGTATTTTAAAGAGACCAGATATTTTTTCTTTCAGGGACTTTCGTTTCTTTCTGTGACATTTGCAATTGGGGCCAAAATAATCCGAATTATAATCAATATTTCGATGCACAGGCTTGGCAAGGTCATAGTAATCGTACCCTGATTCTGGACGGTCACGATACGGCTCATAGTCATAGTTTAGAAAACGTTTTTGCTTCCTTTCCTTAAAGGGAATGTCAACAGACAGTAGATCAACACCTGAACAGTTTTGTGGATATTCATGACATTGTTTATGCTTTCGCGACACATTCTTTTTTCTGGTTAATATATTATATGGTATCTCGCAATCTACGCCAAGGAACTCAACAGATTTCTTTCGGAAAGACGACCTAGGCATCTCACGATTGTCATCATAATCGTTGTCATAATTTGATGTTGGCTCTGGATAGTATTTATTTCGTAAGTTTGGTATTGGATTGTACATCCACTCTGAATCGTATTCTGGCGAATATTTTGCACGAGGCTTATAATCGGCATAGCAGTCATGCCGATTATAATGGGGAACTTCCATATAATCGGTATTCGTATAGCCGGAAGGTTGTCTGAATTTCATCCGCTCTGGGTTGTTTGGTCTGTCAACGGCATAGATTTGGTAATCAGACGCGTGTGAATTGTATGATCTCTTGTGAAATTTGTTGGGAAAGTCGCATCTATAGAAGGAATTGGATAAATGCGTGCTTCCCAGAGTTTCGTAGGGCTTGTCGGGTCGCATCCTGTGTCTATAGTCCGATTCCTGAGGGTAATCCCAATCATAGCCGTATTGTGCAAATGGTTCTTCAACCACCTCTGGAATTACCTTTTTCCTATTCTGATTTCGATGTGGGTTCGCGTGGCGTTCCTTATAACTTGGATGTTTGTAATGTTCTTCATAAGGATCGAAGTTCACTTGGTTTGGGCATTCGTAACAGTCCACGAGGTTAGGCCTGGGCGGCAACACATTCATATGTCTATCATATCTTGAATAACGAGTGGGCTTATACACTTCTTTTGGCCCAGTTGAATCCAGATTGTAATCATATTGCCATTTCTTTCTCCGATATTTATCTTGTCCACTTCGTTTATTGGCATAGAACTTATTTGGAACCGTAAAAGACAAACTACTGCCCCTACGGTATTTGTCTTCTATGGCTCCAAATAGACCTCCGCCAGGAGTTCGACCTGAAATAAACAGAAATAATCAATAAATTTTTTGTGCCGACCAGAATATTTACACACGTTCTCGATGTGGCCCAAAGATGTTGGCAAAGCTGTTGAAACGATTTTCTATCATCTCCGATATGTCAATACTAAGACACACAGATATTCTCTGCAAATAGTCCTCGTCCTGCTCTTCACCCGAGTGTATGAGGCGCATGCTGCTGCATCTTTCCATGTCAATTGGAACTGCCCAACCTCATGTGCCGTTAGCCCAAAGTCTTACTTCCACATTGACTAACAATTTTTATGCGTTATTGTTTTTTTTTCTCGATTGTACCTTGAAAGCTTGCCAACACTTATCGATTAATCGATTGATTTCATTCCATTCCGTTTCATATCAACAAATCGTAACCTAAGCCCACGGACTCAACGTGACATTGTATCATAGTGGATATTTCTAAAAGGTATTCGCATATGCAACTCGCATAGCCAAAAGTATCCGAAATTCAGTTGCTAAGTACAGAAATGCCAGGACTAAGAGAGAGAGAGAGGGAAGGTCAATCAAAGCACCTTTCGGCGCATCAGTTGGGATTGCTTTTCGCTGGCATCGCGCGTTGTGCTGGATGCGGTCTTTGACAAGGAGACACTCGCTACGAGGCGTAAAGATGGATTCAAAGGGTCGCAATAGATCTGAGGAATATATTCGATATTGTGGAAATGGGTAAGCTAAAGTGCAAAGTCAAGGAGAATAGCATACGAAAAATGATCACCATTTAATGCGCGGAAACCGCCAATACGAAACGCTTTAGAAATATGTAAAATATATTTTTATATATATATAAATAAAAATATTAATCTCTGTTAACTCTAGATTAAAGTTTTCTTTCATGGTTTTTTCCATCTGTGGCATTATTCTTGCTTTTAATTGCAGCGTTAATTATTTCACAATGATTGAAATGGCAACAACAAAGGCGGATGTCGGACGTCATTATTATTTGAAGAGTGCTAGAAAATATGCTCTTAATTGCGGAAATATATTTCCATTTAAAAAATAGATGCGATAATTATGCAGAATACGGACGCATTTCCATCACATTAAAATTTCAAACAATAGAGACAGTAAAATGCAGCGCTCGGATAATGGGAAAAACCCAATCCCGAATGTTGAATGCTGAATGCCGAATGCCTGAAAGCGTGTTCAAGTGCGGAAAAGCTGAAAATTATTGTGAAGCGAAAGTGCTTTTTAAGTACCTCCTGCTCTAACGAGTTTCAGACTGAGCCACTCGTACAGCTCCCTCAGCCACGCGCAATGCAATTTATGCCAATGCCAATGACCAAAGCGAATCAGCTAACATAGTTATTATATGTTATTTTATAGCTTAAGTTGTAAACTTTATCTTGTAAATGCCGTACTTAATCTGTGAAGATTAAATTCACCTCTAAAGACTGTGAAGCATATCTTTAGCTAAGCCAAAAACGAATAGAAAAATCTGTGTTTTAGCCGAATTAAGCCGAAACTTAATAAGAAAGTAAAATCTTGTCACGAGATGTGCAGCTAAAGATATAAAATAGCTTTACGTATATTTGGTATATATAGATTATATGACCACTTTCTTCTCTTTGCATCAGCATGCATAGAATTTTCTCTTGAAAAGATTAGAAGGGCTATAGCCGACTAACTCTGATAGTCAAAGAGCCGAGAAGTTTTATATGTGACTCAAATTTTCCTTGGTATAGAGTTTCAAAATATTTAAATGAAAATATATTAAAAAGAATGAATGACGATCTCTCTTCAAGGAAGCTGTTTGAAGTTTGTCTACTATTTAATCACCGACTTCAATAGTCTTAGTTAAGTAAATATTTAATTAAGTATATATTTATTCATAGTTAAATACCCATTAAAATCAGTTCTATAGTATTTTCAGCTATAGAGTTTATAGTTATTTAGAGTATGTTTCGTTATATGTGTCAAGCAAATCCCAGTACACACCCTATACTTATCCCATTCATTTATATTTAATGTTTTTTTATTTTATTACTTTTATTGGCAACTGCAATGGAAACAGTAATCGGCTTGAAGGGCAAAGATTTTGTACTGCTTGCCGCTGATACGATGCTGGCTAAATCCATATTCTTTTTGAGGGATAGTAAGTATCAATATCTGTATCACGTGTGCACAGACAGAACACTGCAGCTCGTTCTTTGGCAGACAGCTCAAAGATACGCATCCTTTCGAGGAATTGCATGATGGGCGTGATTGGCAATGACGGCGACGCCATGCACTTTACAGACTTCATATCGACGCATATCTCGCTCTATGAAATTAAGAATGGCTATCCCATGGAGACCCAGACAGTTGTGCACTTCACACGCCATCATTTGCTGGCGAATGTTGCCAGCAAGGTCAAGTACATGGTTGCGATGCTATTGGCCTGCTTCGATCCGAAGCGAGGACCAAATCTATGCTTCATCGATGCTCATGGCGCTTCGCAGTCTCTCAACTATTCCGGCCACGGCATTGGTCACACAATATGCATGAGCATCTTCCACATGTTGTGGAAACCCGGCCTCACCATCGAAGGTGGACAGAGCATAATTCGCAAGTGTGTCGCAGAGATTCAAAACCGTTTGATCGTCAATTTACGTCACTTCGAGGTCTATCTAGTGGACAAGGACGGCATTCGCAAGCTGGACTCAGTCGGCGGCAAACAAGTAGATCTCATAAATCAAGAATGCATCGTCCCCATTACACGCGCATGAGATCCGTTTGTAAATGTACTCGGAAATTCGATGTTATATTAAGTTATATAGTCAACAGTTTGCCAATAAGACCGCACGATGAGGTGTAATAGATTTTCAAATGTATTTTATACACTCTATTATTCTGTCCAATGAACCAATTGTCAAATGAAATGACTTACACCACCTGCGCCTTTGTCGATTGCATTGCACCTGCTGAGCTCCGCCATATGGCATAAGTTTCGCAATTAAGAGTTTCTAGTGCACCGAAAATTGAATGCCCTCAATGAACTTCGTAACAGGTGTGCAATGCATGTCAAGTAGCAGACATAATCTAATCTTTTGTAAAGTCTGAAGGGTTCTTAAGCTATATAGAATCGACTCTGAGATACTGTGCTCATCCTGCTGCTCTTTAGCGAATTCAGACTTCTGCAATATCAACTTCGAATACTCCCTCTGAAAAGTGTATGAACGGGCATTTCGACCGCTTCTCAAATCAATTTGCAGTCTGCAATTAGTCGTCGCTTTGATGTCGATAATTGCGCAAATTACCTTGAAATGCTGTCCTCGCCCATGTCGAGGTATAAAAGCCACGAGCTTTGTTCTCATCGGCTTAGCAATTGTGCGGCACACGAAGGTAACAGTTATGGCGACAATTTTGAACAAAAGAAGCGTATATTTTGGCGTTGTTTGGCAGGCATTTATTGCCTTGGGCGGTGTCGACTTATACGACAGGAATTATGGAGCCATCCGCTACTGGGGGGCTGTGCTCCTGAATATTCTCGTGACTTTAGGGTTTCCGGTAATGCTTTTTATGACCATGTTTAGCTTCGAGCTGCCGCTGGACAATCTGATCAACTTCAATATATCGCTCACCTCGGCGGCCGCCTCAATCAAATTCGTAATGTATGCCATTCGGCTAAAGAAGATTGCCGAGATCGAGCAGATAGTGGCTGAGCTGGACAGGCGTGTGGACACGGATGAACAGCGTTCATATCAAGCCGGAATGAGCAGAAGGCTACAAATTATGTCTACAGTATACAAATATATTTATGGCTGCGTCGTTGTGACCTCGTCCGTATCGTTTTTATTTCGCGCGGAACGCTCTTTGCCATTTCCGGCCTGGTTTCCATTGGACTGGACAACGTCGCTGACCGCTTATATGTTTGCTGTGCTTCATCAGATTCTCGCAATTGTCATACAGGTGCTGCAGAACTTTGTCGATGACTTGTTCCCACCCATGATCTTTCTGATCATTGTGGGTCAATGCGAGCTGCTCGTCCAGCGCCTTTCGCTTATTGGCTACGACCAGTGCGACCAGCTTGCCAATGAGCGAAAGCTAATCGGATGCATACGCGATCATAAGAAGCTCTTTGGGTAAGCCCCGTCACTTGCTGAATCTTCATAATCCTTGTAAGTCTTTCCGTCCAGGCTACACCAGCTCACCATGGACATCATCTCGTGGCCTTTGTTGGTGCAGTTCGTGGTGATTTCCATCGACGTGGGCACTGCCCTGTGTGCTCTACTCTTTTACGCCGAGAACATGAACGATAAGGTCTACTTTACCACCTTTATTTTCGCAATGAGCATGCAAATATTTCCCATTTGCTACTATGGCACTATGGTGGAATATTCTTTTGGATATTTGCACTATGCAGTCTACAGCAGCAACTGGGTCGATCAGAGCATTTCCTATCGCAAGAGTGTGCTTATCTTCGCAGAGCGCACGCAGCGGCTGCCTAAACAGATTGCCGGCAACTTTATACCAATTGCCCTAACCACTTTTCTAGCTAACTGCAAGGCTGCGTACTCCTTCTGTACTCTACTCGCAGATACTGGATCTCAGAAGTAAAATGTGAGGATTTGCAAGGAATAAACAAGTTCATTTAAGTAATATGTAGAAAAGTCATTGAAAGCCTTCAAGTAGTAAAGCTCATAAAAGCTTCAATTGTAGCAAGTATATAATAGCTTCTAGCTAATTTTGAAAGCACATTTAAGCACTCTTAATAGAATTTCTTATATTTCAAAGTAATATGAAAGTTTTTGTTTAAAATTTTGAAAGCTTGAAATAAGACAAATATTGAACAAAAATCTGAACTTACAGTCCAGAAGTATTTACTTTGCTTATTCACTTTATTTAGACAAATTATCTTTCTATATATCAGAATAAATAAAAGCCCATCTGAGATATATGAATTTTGAATAAAAGCTCGTTTAAAACTATTTTAAATGAGCTTTATCTTGATCTATATAGATATATGCATTTTGAATAAAAGCTCGTTTAAAACAATTTTAAATGAGCTTTATCTTGATCTATATATATATATTCAATTGAAACACTTAGCCTATATAATCTTATCTGCGTCGAGCTATCAGGCTGATTTCTTTCAAATTCACAGATTAAGTTTGTAGTTAAATTTTTGGCCAAATATCTAAATTCAATTTGAAGATGGCAATGGAAACGATCTTGGGCATTAAGGGCGAGGATTGTGTGATACTTGCCTGCGATACAATGCAGGCTAAGTCTGTGATCTTTATGAGAGATGGTACAGTAGCCACTCTTCCAGTAGTATTTGGTTTTAATCGTTCTCACTGACTTCAGATCAGTCGAAAATGCATCGCCTCTCCGAGTTCGCAATGTTGGCGGCAATAGGCGATGGCGGCGACACTCTGCAGTTCACAGATTATATAGCCAAACATTTGAAGCTATATCATATAACAAATGGATATCATTTGAGTCCGCGTGGCGCTGCGCATTTCACGCGTAAGAATCTGGCGGATTACATAAGAACAAACACCAGGTATCAGGTGTCAATGCTGTTGGCGGGCTACGACAGCGTTGAGGGACCCGCTCTACATTTCATAGACTCATATGGCGCCGCGATGCCCATCAATCATGCTGGCCATGGCCTGGGCAGCCTGTTCTGCGGCAGCATCTTTCAACGCTACTGGACACAGGACCTGAAACAGGTGCAGGCCTACAATATATTGAGAATGTGCGTGGCTGAGATCCAAAAGCGTTTAGTTATCAATTTGCGCAATTTCGATGTGTTCGTTGTGAACCGAAATGGGACGAGTCAACTGGAATCTATCAATCCGTCTTCATTCGATGCCGATGTGCTATGTCTATCACTCTCTAATAATTTTCAAAATTATAACAGCAAAGCGTTGAAGTAGATAGAAATGCAAAGAGACATACATTCATTACTTGAGATCATGAAGGAAATGTATGAGGATTGAAAGCTTTAAGGAAAGGAAGTTTTAGACAAGGTCAACTCTGAATTGTGAATTCTGTGTGTTCTGCGTTCATCTAGAGACAGAGTCAGGTCAAGTTAAGGTTTTTATAAACTACTTACATTTACATTGATCTTTTTAAAACTTTGTTGTTATGAGCTCATATATCCACACAGCAGTTTAAGAAAGATGTCTTTAAATTCAATTGGTATATAAAAGCTTCACAAGAACCCTTTAGCCTTTCTAAGTCTTGGACGCTGTCGCTTGATCTCCAATCACTTAGGCTGTCAAACTTAACTACAGCTATTTGCATATGCCTGTCTATCAGCTGCATAAAATGATGTGGAGCCGCATGCCTTTCACATTTAATGCTGCTTAACTTTTATCGATTAAAACTTTTGGTGGTTTTTTTCGTGCTTTAAAGTTTAAGGGATTAGTTGGATTGAGAGGGCGTGGTGGTATGACAAGGGAACATTCTACGGTTGGCTGCGTTCATGTATTAGCATATGTGGCCTGACTGCCTGGCAGTATGAGGATTTGTTTGTGCAACAATGGCTAAAGTTGCACATAGAGCCACATATACAGATATGTGTGCTTGTGTGTGTGCTTGTTGTGGCACATGGTAACGTCAACTATTGCAAATCGGAAGCAGAAAAGCCAACATGTCTCTATTTCCCCATTTGAACACAGCAGTCAGTCATGCAGTTGGACAGACGGCAAAAACTCATAAAAATGTGCGCAGCTTGCAACAAAATGCAGTGGCAGCGCAACGTCTGCGTGTGGCATTGTTGCTGCTGAAGTGGTTGGGCTGCCAGGAATTGGCCGTCAGCGATTTTTATTTGTTTGCAGCCGTCGTTGCCATCACTAATTGGCCGCACATGCCAAAGTGTCACTCGACAAGAACTGACTCGCTGCATAGAAATGGAAAAATGAAGCATTGAAATGAAAATAGGAAAAAAATGATCTGCAAATAAAGCCAAAGTTGGCTAGAGACACAACAAACATATCAGCTAGAGAGCCATATGAAACCCGTGTAACTAATCGAATAGAAAATACGAGAATCCCAAATGATTTAAGCACACAGCAGATACTGAAAGATAGAGCAATCAAATTGAGTGTGAGGTGCAGAGAGGAGCGAAAACTAAGTGATAGATAGATATGTATATCACAAAGTATAAGCTAAGATAGGTATAGATAGTATAGATAGTATAAATAGTATAGATAGTATAGATAGTATAGATAGTATAGATAGTATAGATAGTATAGATAGTATAGATAGTATAGATAGTATAGATAGTATAGATAGTATAGATAGTATAGATAGTATAGATAGTATAGATAGTATAGATAGTATAGATAGTATAGATAGTATAGATAGTATAGATAGTATAGATAGTATAGATAGTATAGATAGTATAGATAGTATAGATAGTATAGATAGTATAGATTGTATAGATAGTATAGATTGTATAGATAGTATAGATAGTATAAATAGTTATAGATAGATAAGTTACAGGTACTAAAAATAAAGGTAGAAGGAAGCGTGCTCAATCCCATAAAATACAAATATTCTGTCTGTCCGTCCGACTGTCCGTCTGATTCTCATATATCTGATTCTCACTATTATTATTATAACTTCCATTTCCATATACATATAATTTCTCAATCAATTTACGAAACAACCAGTATAAAAACTTGTTTAAAAATCAACCTAGACAATCTATTCAAATGTTAAAACCAACTGAAATCTATAAGTTGCCCTTAAGAAGATTCGCTGACATACGTTGAAGCATCTACTTACAATGTAAACAAATTGTAGCCTGACTGCTTGGAGGTGCTTTAGTTAAATTAATGTGGTTCTCGCACCTTATGAAAAATACTTGAAAACTTTTCGTTTCTTACTCAACTGGGCGTTTAGATAATGCGCTTGTAAGACCTGCCAACCACGGTGTCTACCTCTCTCCTGTTAAGCGCGGCATTCGCAGCCAAGACATGCCAGTAATTTGTGACGTTTAAGAGACGTAACTTGGAGGCAGCGACTTCTTGACAGGACATTAACTTGCACATGGATAAGTTCAAGTGGAAGAAGTGTCTCTGTGTGTGTGTGTCATATGACTGCTCTGATGATGATTCATGATGATGATCTTTGCCTTTGCCATTGCTTGCACTTTTTTGTTGTGCCCTGGCCATTGCCGTTGTCATTTTTCACTGGCAAATGTCGTGTGTAGGGGCTGCGGAATGTATTCTTCCGCTGATAGCAGTGTTTGCCTGGCCCGTCTGCCCGCCGGCCGCCTTTTTCGACAGCCTATTAGTTTTTATTATTTGTTGCAATTAGTTTACGGCCTCGACAGGGCCCCTTTTGTCTGACTCGGCTCGATTCGAGTCGGCTTTTATGACACTTTTGTGCGCATTTTTCAACAGAATGAGCGTCATCTGTTGCCGCTGGGCTGCTGTTTTTCTCGCTGCCATTGACAAAAGCCAAACAACAGCAAAAGCAAAAGCAACTACAGCAGCAACAAGGACAATAAGTGCGAGCCGCCTGATATCTATGATAAATTATGGCCAAAAGTCAAAGTCATCAATCAGCGAGCCATGTTTTATTTGCCGCTCGAGGCCATTTGCCATTTGCCATTTGCCATTTGTAGTATGTACGGCCACGCCTATCCCTGGTCAACTGGTAGGCAAAAGACATTGTACATCTGCTAGCCAAAAAGGATTAAAGTATATAAATCGCAAGGCCGTTGTGTAACTCAGGTGTCGCACATTTCGATTTAATTTTCATTAAAATTCAGGCATTAAATATGCAAAAGGTAAACTGCGGCAGCACCGAACCGCCCCGACCCGCCCCGGCCCGCCTTCGCTTTGACCTGACCAAAGCCCATTAAAATTCCTTAAAGACCAGACCAGCCCAGCAGTCGCCTTGACTCGACTCCTTTTCATTTTCGAGTGCTTATTAATATTGCAAGGGACCAGAGCCAGGATTTGCGGACATTATGATGCGGTGAATGCGAATTTATGCGACTCATAGCCCCTCCAACAGCAGCCATAAAATGCCCTGCCTCTCTGTCCCACTCTCTTCGACTGGCTCTCGCTCTCTCGTTGTGCCTTTGCCTTTTTAATTATGCATTTTTATCTGGCAACAGTTGCTGAGTGGGCCAAGAAAAAGCATTTTGCCAGCTAGTTTTGCCACTTAGCTATATCAACTGTGAATCTATTGCATTAACAACTCCTCAACGCTGTCCCACATGGTGTATGCGCAATTTATGAATTGAGCTCTCAGCGTATTGCTTTGATCAGCTCTGAACAGCTCTCGAGTCGAGTGTACCATCTCGTCTGTGCCTGGCACTTGTGCCAGCGCCACGAGTGGCAAAGCCAGCTGATGCCAGTTGGAGACGAAAAATCCTTGACATGCATTGATGATGTCAGTGGCAGTTGTCTGGCACTTACAATTAGCATCAGTTGAGCTTGAAATAATTTCCATTCTACGAATCACTTACGGATATGAATAGAGTATTTGCTATTAGTATTTGGCATTAGTTAACTGTACAGGATTGAATTGAAAGACGATAAATACAAATTGTTATTTTCGTCCCATTTCACAATGAGTAAATGCTATGAGTTGACATTTTCTGTTGCATTGATTTCCCTACTTCCAGCTCTGTATTAGCTCTCGTCAGAGGGAGAGCGCTGTGGCTAAGACTTGTCCGTCCCATTCCCTGGGCAAGCACTTGGAATCAAGCCTTAAAATGAATTGAAACCTTTTTTTCGCTCAACACCTACGCAACTTACCTCAACTGCGCCGTGCCGTGGTCCCTGCTGGCAGCTGGCGCATGTTTTAGATATGCAATGCGGATGCCTTTGGGAAATTAACGGTACGTTTTAACGGCAACGTCAACGCTCGCTTAAATGTCTTTCATTGTGGCAGGACTTGGGGGAGCGTTGCGCAATCAGCAACATTTGCACATTTTTAAGGTGTGCGTCGTAAACTGAAGATTGAGCATAAAGGTAAGCGCGCACAACGGCAATGAAGAACGACAGCCTAAACAGGATTGAAAGACGTTCATTTACAGCTTGACAGATCGGGATCTCAGCATGAATACAAATTTGAGGCTGTGAAGGCATATAAAAGAAAGAATACTCAATGTGCAAGTTTGCAAATCAAATCAAAATTATATTTAAATTTATATAAATTTTAATAAAGTATAGCAAAATTTTAAGTCTTAAAAAGTTGCAAAAGGATTGAATTTCTTAGACTTTCAAAGTTGCTGGATCCTTGCATATATTCTATCCTATGAGAAGGTAAAGATTTTGTTTCGCACATCTCATATATTTTGTGGAGTAGTTTTTGCCCAGCACCGAATGCATTATTTGTTATTTGACATTCAGACCATATAAACTGTTTCCTTATAGCTTCAACAACTAAGACCGTATATATATCTTTGCTATATCTTAATCTTAATCCTTTTACCACATATATATTATATTTACAGCTTACATCTCAGTCTAGCCTCAATGCTTACTATTTAATTACATAAAACTGAACTTGCTTTTTTTAAAGAGAATTCAATCAATTTATTGGCAAATATATTTGCAATCAAACCTTGAAGCTCACTTAAATGTGTCATGTAAATGTAAAGTTGAAAATGACATCATGTTTCGGGCGGCCAGAGCAGATAAACAGCCTATAAATAACTCACTTTGATCTCATCGATATTTTCGCATTGTAACAAATTTTATTTCGTTGCATTTTGCTGCGCATAAATCAAGCTGCATGTGTGTGCGTGGCGCGAGGGACGAAGTATGTTGCAACCCAATCAGCCAACTTGCAACAACGCCAGCTTTAAATACCAGCGGCGTAATTTATGATAGTTCACAGATTTTACAGGGCCGCATCGAGAGCGACCGGAGACAGATGTGACATCAACAATGAACACAGCTCTGGGGCGCGAATCGAGTGTCGAATTTTGATATGAGCTGTCGGAACAAGAGCCACATTTATAATGCGTTGAATCGTTTAATTACTGCAGCACTGCAAACAGTTAAGGCCCAAAAAGTGGCAATGGATGAGATTATATTGAAAAAGTATTGAAAAGTATTTGCTATGAGAGTACAAAGTTTAAGGAAAGTTGACAGATCCTATTCCAGACAAAGCTAAGCTTATATCTATATATTGTATTATAAAGTGAGCTCCCTTTGGTTCCTTAAATAATTCCATGTGTCGAGTTCCGTGTCTTAATATACATTTTACTTTGAAATATAACACGAAATATATACCTCTAAGTAAAATAACTTTTCTTCTATTGTTTCAATTGCATGTTGCAATCTTCTATGTAAGTTGGCAGCTCTCCCATTGGCAGCAGTAAATCTATATAAATACATATACATATACTATGTGTACATGAAATATTTTATATACTCCAAGTTTTTCTGCCTTGCGTGTCATGTGTGGGTGTGCGTGTGTGTTAATATGTGTGTGAGTTGGAATAAGGAAAAAAATAGAGAATAAAAGTTGCAGTTGAACTTTTCAGCATTTGTCAGAGAGTCAGAGGATTTGTTTGCCTTTGGGGGCTGGCCAAAGCCAAAGCCAACAATTTTGCTGGCTGGTCCGCTGGTTCGGTCGTAGTTTTGTTTTTGTTTGTTTGTTTATTTTACGTTCGCCCCACTATTTGTTTTCTTTCCAATTTTGTAATTTCAAACTTTTTCTATTGATTCCATGGCACGCATGAACACCTTCAGCAACAGCGCCGATGACGACAGCAATTGCTATTACGAGCCCTGCCGATGGATGCGAACGGATGTGAATGCGGGCGATTCGAAGACAGCAAGTTGCGAACTTCTTCAATGTGGCCGAGGGCCAACAGTGAGGAGGCGGGCGAGGGCAAAGGACGAGCACTCAATTTAAGTTGTGGGCGAATGGGATTGCCAGGCCAAGCTACAGCTGCAGCTGCATCCACAGCGCCTTCGTGTTGACCATGCGTGGAAATGCACAATTTAAAAGAAAACAAAACAAACACGAACAGCAAATGGTAAAAGAAAACTTGAGAGATGGAGAGAAACTTTCTAATGCACTTAACACTCTATTTCCCAGCCAAAAACTGTCAATGGCATTTCGCAACATTTATTAATGTGTCAATCGGATGGAAGTCTTCCCAGCCAGACCAGACAACATGTGAAGTATTAAATTTCTAATATCTGAATTCTTAAATAAGTAAATATATGTGTATAAGTAAATATAAGATTATATTAATAATTGGAGACTTAAATTATCTAAAGCTCAACAATACTGGCAGTATATAGAAAAACTTCTGTTTGATCAAAAGCTTTAATTTTTGAAGCACTTTTAAAAGTTCTTAATACCAATGGCTAAATTAATGTTGTGAGAGTTACGACAAAAAAGTCTGATTTATAATCACAAAAACTTAAGCAAAGTTTATTCACTAAAAGATTTACTTGAAAGCGCCTCAGCAGCTTTTTAGCTATAGTCGAATTATCAAACACACCAAAAGCTCTTCATACAGCTTATTGAATAATTAAAGCAAATGTTTAATATACATTTAAAAGCCTTGAAACAGCTCAAGCTTCTTATGCCCAAAGAACAATCAAATTAAATATATTTAGTAGTTAATATTAATATTCGAATCTATTTTTTCAATTATTCTTCAACTGTAATCAAGATAAATTGCTTTAATTAAAAGCAAACTAATTTTCAAAAGTTCCATAAGCTTTAATCACTTGCCATCAAAGTTGCGCTTCAACTTTACGTTATGTAATATTCTGATGTTTAGTTGACATTGTCAGCTAACAGCTAGGGACTTGGTGCAACTTCAATGCTCTGCGAGTGTTCATCAAATATTCGAACAAATTATAAAAGCAAAAGTCGCAGCACAAAACGATTACATGACTCGTACCCCCAGTGGAAATCAGCCACAGAGCCGCAACCAACTGCGGAGTAATTCCTCGAAATGCTCGTCTCCCCGCCTAATGGCGATTAGGTAAATGAAAACATTGCGTGCCAGCGACATTTTTGTATGCGAGTGGCTCGGGCGACGCTTTATTTGCTATATTTCATGCCTGCCTGCACTTATCTCCAATTGTTCATCACACCCACCAGAGCGGCAGTGGTGAGCGTTGGGTCAACTGGAAGTGGAAATGGGAATAGGAATGGGACTGTAACTCGGACTGGGATTACTGTACCGAAACTGTGGGGCTGGCCGAAATGTCATTTGAGTTGAGTTGGCTAGCGAGCTTCGATTCGACTTTACGTCCTAATTACTCGCACAACACAAAAACGCCACTTCAATTTGAATTAAAATGAGTGGGCAACACCAATGCCACGACCATGGTGGGTCACAACTGGCGCCACAGTTTTTAATTACCGCCTACACAAAATTACCGCGCAGAGTTCAACCACGAAAAAATCTATTAATTGCCAGCGGAGTGGGGCGTCGCCTGTAATGGTTTATAATCGATTTAAGCAGCGCCATTATGATGGCCCTCGCTAAATTGCATTTTCGACTATGACAAATGGGCAGTAGTTGAACAACTTTTCAGATTCCTGTGAGAGGTTGCTGTGAAGGTAACCTTAGAGCTGAATATTCCATTTGTGATATTTCAATGTTAGCCAAATCATCATCAGGTCACAGGCCTTTATTAAAACTTTGCTTATTTCTATTTTGAAATTTGTAATCAACTTGTTTCTCACCTGCCGCTTTACGCAGTCGTGGTACAGGAATAATTCAGCTTTTCATTGAAAACCAATCGATATTCTGGCTGATGATGTTTGAGTCTTGTATTGCGGTTGGTTCCCTTTTCAAAGTGAACTTCCAATTAGAAGCTGTTGCGGGTTGCAGTTGACCATCAAAATCAGTCCAGTGTAAGAGACATATTCCATTCTCGCACCACAGGTCTGTTGTGCTCTCCTTTTACCTATGTCATCAGCGTGGATAGACTGAGGTTAGCTCGTTATTGTTGCCACTGGCTTCGCCGTCAATTGCAGCTGACTGCACCACAAAATTCAACGCAATTTGTAAAATGAAATCGATTCAATTGATTGTTGACTTCGCCAAACACACACACATACGCACACACACACGCACACACACATGTGACATTGTGTGTGCCTTGGATGGCATCCTGCAGGAAGCAAGTGCCAGCAACGGTGACAGGTGTCTGAGGGGTGAATGTGTTCAATATTGTTGTCCTTTGCCGGCCTTTATTCACTTTACATCTCTTTCTCTCTCACTCTTTCTCTTCCTATTTCTCTCTCTCTCTCTCTCTCTCTGTCTGTGTGCTTTGCACTTTGCTTGATTAAATTTCAATATTTACTAAAATGTCGCTGAACTCTTTTTGACAGCTCTGTAAATTTCATAACCAGAATGGACATAAAATATGGTCAACAGTGTGTAAATTTGAACATGACAAGGACATAAAAGGACATAAGTAAAATAAAGAGAAATCATTCGCTTTTTTCATCTTTGCTCCTCATATGCAATTTGTTATAGTTTGTCAACTTTTCGCCCCGGGCTAAAGCGGATCTGAAAACGACTTCCAATGAATTAGACTCAGTAAATGAAAGACTTTATTGGGCTCTATCAAGCGAAGGCATATGTAATCCAAGGGGTGTTTCCCATATAACTTTTAGGAAAAGTAATACAACTCCTTAGCAAATCATTGATTTTACTATCAGAATGACAAATATTATTTAAATTTTGAATTTTCTTGGCATGTATTTGTTTCTAGCTAGAAGATATCCTGATATTATATGAATCACCATGGATTGTAATGAAGACAGGTAAGCTGTAAGCTTAAGAGTTAGGAACTTCATCGTAATAAGCCCTCTTCAGGCTGTGCGCTGATAGCGATAGTGAAAAGCTACAGGCCACTCTCGATATGAATATTCCCGAAGAAACAATAATTTCCTCGTATCAAGTGAGTGAAGCGCCAGTTGTCTTCAAGGATGCGGCTCAGTTTGAGCAGATTGAAGACTTCTTTAATATTGGTTTGCATGACGATGTGGATTTTCTTAATCATTGCGCCACAAGCGACGTAGAAGATGATAAAAATAAGAAGAATATCGCGAGCGCCGATATTCCTTGGTACGTGGAAGAGGAGACAGTCTTCAAGGTCGACAATCCAAAGCAAGTGGAGTCTGAGTATTTCGATATAGACTGGGACTTTAGTTTTGGCAATGCCAAAAGCGACGATGATATCATTGGGGACTTTGTCAAAATCGACTTTCCCAAGCCAGAGGATACGAATGCAGCTGGCATTTGCAACGGCGCTATAGACCTATCCAAATTGGAAAAGCTTTTTGACACCTCCGAGATACTATCCCTCAAGGAAACGCTCAAGCTAAGCAACTTAGAGGATGCCCAATTTCTTAACGAGTTTGACACGCCCAAAGATGTGGACATCGACACTCCGATAATACCTGATATCGAAATAGACTATGATAATATTTACGAGAACATTGGAAATGCCAGCGAAATGGAAAAGCAACTGCAACTGCTCTATCGACCCTTCACTTGCCTCGTTGACGTCAACTGTCGTTTCAGCCTGTACGAATTGGCGATTCTTTTAGATGATGCTCGGTATGAGCCCGCTCATCATCCGGCATTGTTTGTTCGTTTGCATAATCCCAGCGCCGAAATCAAGTTGTATGCAGGCGGCAAGATACACTCCACGGCCTTGACAGCGAACTCGGCACGCACGGGTCTGCTGAAGATAATCCAAATGGTCGAGGAGCTGGACTATAAGACGGACATCACAGACTTCAGCAAGAATATTGTACACGCCTCCTTCTGTCTGCCCTTCAAGCTCGATCTGGAGATGCTGACCGAGCTGCATGGCGAACATATATCTGGTAATCGTGAGACGCGACCCTTTATAACCTACAAGATCGATGGCACTGCTATCCGATTTGCTGTATTCCCCAATGGCTATGTGCTCGTCCTGCACTCCAAGCAGCACAGCGAAACCCGTGCGGCCATAGCCGGCTTCCTGCCGATCTTGGCGCAGTTTCGAAATGGCTATCTAACGCACTCGGAGAAGCACGGCTCTCTGTGTGGCGATATCTCGTTTAAGCTGCTGTGGGAGCGCAAGCTCGAGGAGGATAAGGAGGGTGTCTTACTCTATTCTTGAGTCATATTCCCCGGATTGTCTTGTTGTGCTTCTTTTCATGTTGTTCTTTTTTTGAAAATGCTGTGAACATTTGTCATAAACCAAACTTGTGTAGTACGTGCAGTGTTTACACTCCGAAGTTTGGGGCCCACTCGGCAACTTGTTTAAATACGTGATTTATTTACCAGCCAGATGCTGCTCCTCCGGCTGCTGTTGGTCTGGGTAACTGAATATAGGGCTATGCACAACTGGGAAAGCCACGCCAAACTTGCCAAACACAGGCAGCAACACACACAGAGAGAGAGAGACCGACTCACACCTCCGCAAATGGCAAAAACAAAACAACACACAAATTGCAGCAGAAGTTGCAACAACTGTAGCTGCAACAGGCGCATACATAAATAACGCAACATTCTGCAGAAACACAACTAGTTGAAGAAGATGTCACATTATGCGGGCACAAAACTTGCCTCAAATACGTTTTAGACGTGCCAAAAGCATCTACCCATGGTCAGGCGGCCAGAGCAGTGGGAAATGTACAGAAAAAATGAGATTATGACATTTAATATACATTATATAAAAGCTTAACATCTAACAAAATTAAGCTCTTGAACTGACTTAAAATGGAATTGATTGCTTGGGAGTCCTTGAGTTGGCTTAGATTAGTTTAGGTTAGTGCTATAACCAAAACCATGTTTCTAGACTTCATTCATTTCTGGTATATTTTTATATATTTTTATAAGTTATAAAAAAGTCAAAAGAAAGTCAAAAAGGTTTAGCTGCAACTAATAATAAACTCAACTAAGTCGACTCGAAATTTATAAGAAATATTTTACAGAAGGCCTTAGAAGGAATTAGCTCTGCATTAAGCTTCTGTTTTATATTTTTCAAATAAGACAATGCTGGATATAAATTTATTTAATAATATACAAAATGCAGAGTCAATAACTCCGATTATCTGCACTAATTAAACGATAGATACGAGCGCCAGCTGGACATGATCAGCCAAACGCAAGAAGCATGTAAATAATAGAGGCCTCAGTCCTGACAACAATCTCTATTTTATGTAAGTCACTTACAACCATAAATCTATTGGCTGCTCTTAAACATACACGACAGACTCAGAGCCAATAGAATTGATGTATATAATTATATTTGTCTAATACGAATACAACTTAATTATTATTACTTCAAAGCCAATTTATATTTCAATAAATAAATTTCTATATTAATTTTGATATAAATAATATTCTATATTTCTATCTGGCTGTGGCTGAAAATGTTTTCATATTTATTTAGGTAATCTTAAATTAGGCAATCAACATTAATTGGTAAATAATTATGTGTACAACATCGAAATCAGACCGCTGATTAGCAAATGTGTATATTTGTAGCTTTTTATATAATACACACTCACACACACACACAATGCACTCTTCTTTATTGCATTGAACAAACATAAATAAATTGTAGATAAGTTTCAATTTGAAAATGTTCAACAATTGCATGTAATGCGCTTCGTTTTGGTATTAGTTTTTGGTCATTAAATGTTGGCTACTAGCCAAGTTGCCAGCGATTGTTCCAGCATCCACGCCCGCTTTAGTCGCATCATTTGGCGACAGGCAACAAAAAAAACATACAAAAATAAAAAATAAAATAAAAATAAAATTATTCTAGCATATCGGTTAAGCATTGTTGAACACGTACGATATTATGGCAGAGACGAGCTGGCAAAAAAAAGTCAATATAATTCCCTGAGAGCAATTTTAAACAGAGGCCAAAACAGTGCTCGGGGCCGTGCCACATGTGTTGTTTCTGTTTTAAATGGCCTTTATGACGCCGAAAGGGGACAAATTAAAACAAGGAGCAAAATATACGAGTATGTGACATGCTGGACTTCAAATAATTGCATTCTGTAATGCCATATCGATTCGCTGTTCAACAAATACAAATGTTTCAGTTGACTGCCAGTTATGGAATCGTGCTTCATGGAGGCTGGAGAGGAGGCTTGTGAAGAGATCTGTCTTTGTCTATAGCATAGAAAAATTAATAAACGAAAATCAAATTGTTGAGAGAAAAGTTGAAGTGTACTTAAATATATTTTACTATAATTCGCTTAAGAAATTAATGCATAAATCTTATCAGAAATGGACTTCCACTCTACTAAATATGTAATGCGCCATCAAATTAAGAACTGATGTCATATGTCAGAGACAAAATTTCTTTATGCTAAGAGTCCAAATATGCATGTTGAGTAGGGCAAGGGCCAACTTCGTAGATTGAATGAATTAGTTCAATTTATTGTTTGTGCCACGCTCATATGAACTAACAATATGAACGTTTGGAATGCGGTGTCACGTTCTGGATGACTGAACGATGCTTGGAAACAAGTGCGTAGTACGTAATATGAAAGGAACATGCTGTACATGCTAACTGCTGCTAGCTGATATATAAACAATATATATGTATATATGTGTGTGTATGTGTATATGTATATATGATGGGCCGAGAAACGCCAAAAAGCTGTTTCAATTTAATTTGACTTTGATCGCCAGCTGACGCAGTTGGTGTCATCCCCATGTCATGTACTTGTCCTCGCGCTGGCATATGGAAATCAGCCATATTAGATGGCAGCATGTCTCATTTTCTTATGGATATACGTATATATATCTTTATATATATATATTTATATATCTTTTGTAACATCAGCGCAAGCTGTGCGCAAATTACAAATGACTCAAATTTGATGTTCGCAAGATTTTGCGATTTCAATAAATACAATTTATAAAGAAAGAAATTTAAAACACTATAAATATTTTATTTATATTTTTCTCAATTTCTGTGCTACACTAAAATCTAGCAGTTTTTTCCACTCGACTTAGTTTATGCAAAAAATTTCATTTTTATGGGATTTTCTTTTTTGTTAAGTCTCATAAAGATTATTATTGTTTTTTCTCTTCTTCTTCTTCTGTTAGAGTCTTTAAAATGTAAATACATAAACACAAAGTTGTGTATCGGAGATGTCGAATGTGGGCTGTGTTTTATTGCCACGAGGGCTGCGAAGTAGCTGAAAACTTCATAAATCACAAAAGTTTGTTTCGGCCATGAAAAGGCTTAAGGGTTTATCAAAATGAAAATTTATTGGTGCTCAAATACATGGAATTTTCAGATTTATGTATTTTCGTTGCCCCTTGTCACACAGGCCATAGCAAATACGCATTCCATCGATAGCTCCGCTGGCAGCAACAACAAACACAACGAGATTTCCCTGGAGGGCAAGGCAAATCAGAGTTTCCATAATAATATTAGCACATCGCTACCAGCAGCAGTGCAAAATTGCTGTTAATTTCAATTTACGAGACACTTTCAAACTGCTGCAGTTCAATTTTCAAGTTTCACAGGTAAACGACTGCGATTATCCGTGTGCATTGCAATTAAACCCAATTGCGGTTCAGTTATGCTGCAGCAATGCAAATACAAACAGGTTTTTTTCTGTTCTAACTTGTTTTCCTCTGCTTTCATTAGCTGTGTATGAGTGGCTTAGTAAAGGAAATAACATGAGACTGGGTCACATTGAAAGTAGCTCAGCTGTAAAGCGCAGAATATAAAAGAATTGTTATGGATAGCTATGTTAATGAAGGGATATGCATGTTGGGGTATAATCAATGGCAATCAAAGCTATATAAGCCACATCGATAAAGTTGTTGTCTCAGCTGTATCTAAAAAATATACAGAGTATTGAAAGACTTAAATGTATATTGTTAAGTTCAAATATTAACCGATGACAAATGTATTCAGATTATATTGTTTATAGACTTTGCACAAAAACGAATTGTTTTTAAAATTATCAAAGCGTAAGTTTATATAGAGCCCAGCTACCCCATGCATCAATTATGTATTAAGTTCTAGTTTAGACCAAAGACCAAACATCACTGAAGCTTCAAATTAGCTACGAACTACATATTAACATATATCTTAAATATTTGAATTTCTGCACGAAAAAGTAAATCACAGCTGCCTTTAGTAACTCAAATTCCTTCTATCAAATATCTCTGAATCATGACCCCATGCACCATAGACCTACTGACTACAGGGCATTTCATAGTCTACTTCAGTGCTCTCAGCTGCCCTTTGAACATCATTCTTGAAGTCATCTGCCTTTCCGGCAGCATTTTCTCTGCCAACCGAAGCAGCTGGCATTAATTTTCATTTAAATTCCGCTTGTTAAATATGCAAAACTCTCTCTTTGTGGTCCGATTGGGCAGCCGAACCTGAACCTGCAGCGTGAAACCTAAACCAATCTCTCTGTCCGTTGCCATTTCGAGTCATTATTAAAATTGCAATACGCCATACGCCTCGACACCTGATCGAAAAGTGTGTCGCATAATCTTTGCGGCTGACCAACAACTGCTCAGAAACTACGCAGCAGCTGACAGCTGAGATGTGCTGCAATATTTGTGGGCACAGCTTACTTAAGCATTTATGAATGCAAAGTGAACTTCTTCATGAAAAACTAAGAGCTGCACACAGCAAAACTATCAAATGGTATATGTCCAGACCCAACTAATTGCAAGTTAATCGAAAAATTAAAAACTACACAACTTTTATGCACTCGTCGACCGGCATTACCAATTGCGGAGAAGGAGTATAGCCGACTAGAAGGTGGCATATCTGAACAGAAGTTTCCAACATTTTATAGTTGTCTGAGATGAACAGAGAAGGAAGTCACTCAACTCTCTTCATTCAGTCTTAGTAACCTTTACATAAGGCAAGCCATGACATTTCTCTTGCTCGAATGCCATAGTCAATCACTTATACTAGACAATTGGTATTTCCTAGTCGCTCAAACGAACTGAGGGTATCTTCCAGGCTCACTCGCATACTTCACACGTCAACCATTTTAGAGTCATCTTCTTCTCACCCATCCAAACAATGCGTATCTGCTAGCTAGACTCTCACACATTCCTCCGTTAAAGGGTATCTGCCAGTCGTCATCTCACACATTCACTTTGGGCATAAATTATGAATAAATACTTATGCGCAACTCCCAACAGCTATATAAGTATTTGAGAATTATGCATTTTGAGCGCTTCTTTAAATGCAGTGGGTGTCTTTGGGGTGGACCACAAGAGCGGCAGGCGCTGGCCTGTTCAACCTAATCTTCAAAGCAACCACAACCCTTTTTTCCAGTTGCCAACCAAGTGGGGAGAAAAAAACGTGGATAATTTTTAGCTTTGAACGCAAAGTTCCCCTTTGGCTAGAATACATAATTCATAAACCGGGAGCCATTTGAACTGCGCCCACAATGCTTACCCACAAAGCTAGACAAAGACAGATACATTGTGTAATAGAGAGAGAAAGAGAGGAAAAGAGAGAGCGAAGAGCCAACTTTGATGGTGGAACTTTTTAATCGGATTCCGCAGCTCGATTGCCATCACATCGAGCAGCATCTAGCATCGGCACTTTCTCAGTGGTTTGCTAAGATATGTCGGTCTCGAACTGCTGCGGGCCACGAAGTTTTGCCAAAAAGACCCGAAATCTCAAATGGCTAAATTTTGTACTATTTAAGCCAATTTCTCGATAAGTTTCAGATTATTCTGTGCATGCATTACAAAACTAAAATTAGCTGCGGGCTGCATTGGTGCAACTGCAAAACTATTTTTCACCTGACAATTTTACAAATGAAAAGTTTTTTTAGATGAATCTTGAATGATTAAAAATTCATTTTTAAGAACTTTACATATGAATGGAAATACATGAACATTGTGGAAGATGTATAATTAAAAAAAATAAATTTGAGTAAAGTTAATAAAAAACTTGAATAAAAACATATTAAAAATAAATGTCATAACATTTTATATTTAGTAAATATAGTTTCATTGATATTAAAAATTTATTAATTTACATTTTTATATGTTGAACTTGTATAACTCTAAGAAAATCTTCATTATAAGTCTATCAAAAGCATTAATCGAGCTGTTTTGCTGTCGATATATGCCTAAAGTTCTCATTACTCTTTAATATAATAATATAATAATACAATAATATAATAATACAATAATACAATAATATAATAATATAATAGTATAATAATATAATATAATAACAGCCCTTATGTGTTAGCTAAAACCTTCTCCTAGTTTAGTTTTAAGCCCTTTGTCTAGAAGCAAGTTCTTTAATTGCTTTACTGTCCTTCCCTTTGCTGCAACTAGTAATTGCTTTGACTTCTATAACCTTTCCGATAAATTGAACTCTCTCTCTCTCTCTTTCTCTTTCTCTTTCTCTATCTCTTCAGCCTTTGATCCCTTAGTTATCATCTCCTACATCAATTGACAAAAGCATTTAGCCTGTCATAAAAACTAATTGTCATGATTAATTGCCTACTAAAAGCTCGAATTGAATTTAGTTTTAGCATATTTCACTTTAGTTCTAATTCAAAGTTCTTGAGCTGCAGCATGATTGCGTTTCAGGCACTGTTCGCTCGCTGCTTGCTGGGCATCTACTGGTGCATGGGCCTCGTGCCTTTGCCACCTGTGTCTCAGCGTTTGCGGCTGGCCGTGGCCTTGTTTATACGCCTCATTTGGTTCGCATACTACACGTGGATGCTGATCATCGGCTACTCTTATATATGGGTAGACAGGAGCTTGAGCATCAGTTACATCACTGGAACGCTTCTGCACATGGGCTACGCATTGCTAGGTATGCTAGTTCAAATGCAGAGCATACTTAAGCAACGATTGTATGTGCGTCTGGAGGACTATCGCATACGATTGCAGCTGCAGATGAGGCGACTGGGCTGCTCACACAAATGCCAGCGAACAGAGCGTTTGTTTTTTCTACTGGTCGCACAGATGTCCAGCGACATTGTCAAAACCTGGGCCAACTCCAAATATAACATATCGCCGGTGCACGTCATCTCCTTGCCGCAGAAGTGGCAACTGCGTTTCCACTTCGTTCAGCTGATGTGGCAGATCATGGAGCTTAATCAGCGAGCCGTCGAGCTGCGACACTCGCTGCTGCGTCTGGCCGCCGGCATTGACATCTGGCAGCCATACAGCCTGCCCGACTGGAAGTACTTGCAGATGCTGCGCCTGAGCTACGAGCGCATTTACGAATGCCACGAGATCTTCAACGACTGCTACGGCTGGAGCATGCTCTGCGTGCAGTTGATGTGCGGCTTTGAGTTCGTGGCGAATACCTATTGGTTCGTCACAGAGGCCTACGTGTCACAGCGCATATACATGTTTATCTACAACGGCAACACCTGCTTCGCCATTGGCACACTCATGACGGCGCTCTTCTGGTACGGCGGCGCAAGTGCTAACAATGTGAGTAGCTGAGGCCTAAGTTGATAGAGAGATGGGATGATGAGAGATATAATCAATAATAAAGGGATACATAGAATATCGAGTTACCTCTTTATTAACATATACCTGACAGCCCCATTAAGTATGCTACACTTTTCCACTCACATCCACTTTCACCTGCCATGTTAAAGCAGAATGCTGAATCAGGTTCAATAATTATGCCAGTGATGAATTGGTAGACAGACAGTGCTTAAGTCAGCTCTAGGCATCTATCATACTGCCGACCAGTTATTAGTCCAGCTGCAGCTCTTGACTGGATCAGTTATGAGGCGAGCGGCCTTTCACCTCGTGCTATGTTTCATGGGCGTGCGATGCAATTCACGGCTGCATCGCTTGCAATACCTGCCTTTTGGCTTGTGGCTCTGCTGGCTTGTCACGCTTTGGACAGGTGTACTCAGATACACATCAGCGATGCCGGATTGCACTCTTGATTGCCTGATCACATCCTGCATGTTTATAATGCTGAGTGCTGCACATGGCTGCGTGCTGCTGGACACCTTTCTGAAGCGTCGCTCACAACGTCAGCTGGAGCTGCAGTTGGCAATGCATCAGTTGAGGGATCAACATATAGAGAATGTACTGCTTTTTGTCAATTGCGCCTTTGCGGTGGCGGCGTTGCAAAGTCTAGTCATATGGTTCGGGTTCAGCACCAAGTGGGAGTGGCAATCGCCCATCTTTTGGGTATCTGCGCCCAGTGCCTGGGCAGTACAGCTGAAGGTCATTGCGTTCCTCTCGGAAGTTTTGGTGGCCAACGAGCGGCTGCTTGGCATGCGCAACAGCCTGAAGCAGCTGGTGTCACAGACCAAAAGCCACAGCCAGCTGCTCGACGTGGATCAGCTAATACGACTCAAAGAGCAATACAGACAATTGCATCTGATCTTTGTGCAGCTCAACTCAGCCTATGGCCTGAGCATGCTCATTACTTTCATGGTCTTATTTTTCGACTTTGTATTCAGCGCTTATTGGATAGCCAAGAACACATTGATCCGCTCTCAAGATGGACTCCACTTATTCCCTCAACTGGGCTTCGCTATCAATGTGGGCCTGCTGCTCTCTATCACCTGTTGGCACTGCCAGCAAAGCTCAAATCATGTGAGAGTTCAACTGATACTTAAAATGAAATTATCTTAAATTTATGATGTTTTTACAGAGTCGTCAAATTGGCTGCTTGATACCAAAGCTGGTAAAGCCTTTGGGCAGCAAGCGCTACAATGATTTGGTCAGCGAGTTCCTACTGCAGACGCTGCATCAACGCTTCGTGGTGACGGCCAAGGATTTCTTCAGCCTCAATCTGCATCTATTGAGTAGCGTAGGTTTATGACTTTGATTATGTTTGATAAATGAATTTTCAAACTCACTTATCCTTCTCCTTCTGCAGATGTTTGGCGCTGTGGTTACGTATCTTGTCATACTCATACAGTTTATGTTTGCCGAGAAGAGTTCGCATGCTGCAGCCAGGCCGAAGTAAAGTTTCAGTTTCAGCATGCAAATCATTTTTGACTCAGAAAAGTATTCAAGTCACGAAATACAGATATAATGATCTCACGAATAATACTTTCCTTCACCAAAACTTATATATGAATGATTTTCAGCTGAACAATCATATGTTTAAATACAAAATGTAACTATTGAAAAGCTTAAGAATCTATGAACTACTTGTTTTGAATCATATTCTATTGATTCATTCATTCATTCATTCGCTCATTAATTCATTCATTCATTCATTCACTCGTTCATTCATTAATTGATTCATTTATTCAGTGATTCATTATTTCATTCACTCCTTCATTCATACGTTCAATCATTCACTCATTAATTCATTGATCCTATCATTCATTCATTCATTCATTTATTCATTCATTCCTTCATTCCTTCATTCATTCATTCATTTATTCATTCATTCCTCCATTCATTCACTCATTCATTCATTGATTCATTGATTCATTCATTCATTGATCCTTTCATTCATTCACTCATTCATTCACTCATTCATTCATTGATTGATTCATTCATTTATTCATTCATTCATTCATTTATTCATTCATGCATTCCTTCATTCCTTCATTCATTCATTTATTCATTTCTTCATTCCTTTATTCATTCATTCAATTCTTCATTCATTGATCCTTTCATTCATTCACGCATTCATTCATTCATTCATTCATTCATTCATTCATTTATCCATTCATTCCTCCATTCGTTCATTTATTCATTCATTCATTCATTTATTCATTCATTCCTCCATTCATTCATTTATTAATTTATTCATTCATTCATTTATTCATTCATCCAAATAATATTGATGCACGAAATGAAATAGAACATCAGCCTCACAACCTGCTATCAATCATACATTGTAGATGCAATTAGATATCCACTCAGATCACTCAAATGTGGCCTCGCCTATAACAAGCATCTGCTAGCTGCAGCCCAACAATTATTTAAGACGCTTTAGCACTTTTTTTACACTTTGCACAAACTTATAGCAGACACTGTTGCTCAGAGCTGCTGCAGTCTAGTATTTCAGCTAGCACATGTGCCGTAATTATTTATGCCGCCCACAGAGCGTTAGTCGGTTGGGTGCTGGGGGCTGCGGGGGCGTCTTGGGTGCCCACATGGAAGTTAGACTACATCAAGTTTTAGTTATTCTTAAGCAGACAAAACTACTTCACGCATATTAAACTGGCATTTCACAGGCACAAAAAACTTTTTCTAATATGCAAATTCATGCCGAATCCTTGTGCATGGCAGTAGAAAGGATAAAGTAGCGCCAGCAGCAGGGGCACACATCCTTGAATTAACACGTGCGGGTTCGCATTAATTTGTAAACTGCTCGGGGGACCTACACCATGCTGGTTATCCAGTCTGTGTTTTATCAGAGGCGCAGTGAGATATATAGAAAGAGAGAGGTATATTAAGAGAGAGGGAGAGAGAGTGATAGAGAGGCTAAAATGGTTTTTGTCGTTAGCTATGCAAATGCCGAGACATGTAAATATTATTTACCACATGGCCAGATGCTCGAAATGTAACTGTGCCGGCACTTCTCATCTTAATTAACATAGAACAACTAACACACTTCATTTATAAATATTTATAAGCTTCAAGGATTAGTGCACTAAACTATTTTTATATGCTGATCACGATCAAAAGGTAGCAGAAAAAAACTGTTGCTGCTCGCTCTGAACTGCACCAGATACAACTGCACTCAAAGTGAGCTAAATTATGCATTCAAAGCTGATGCTTAGCAGGTCTGCCTAGGCTTGCTGAGGCTTTAGCTGTATAAAATGTGAGATCATAGCCACAAAACACAGTAAACAGCTGTTGTGTAATTCAACTAGATTAATTCTGATCTGGTCTGATCTGAAGCTAGACTTATTTTGGGAGCGTGCAAGAAGAAGAGTAAAGACAGAGAGTGCTTAGTTAGTTTGATTCTGATATTGATTAAGACAAAACGCTTGTCACAACTATAATAGTTGACGCTAGCCAAGAAGCTGAGCCAAGTCAGTGCTAGACAAGCTAATCATTCAGCTAAGATCAATTATGCATGATAAATTCGAAATTGATAAAAATTCGAGCATTTTACAGAGTGGATAAAATGTACTCTGAAATTTTTAATTTATATGGCAAAGACAAAAACAAATAAAAATATCAGAATGTAGCATGACTCTCAATTTAAATATTTATTATAATATTTATAATATTAATTTAAAAATTAAAAAAATTAAAATTATCTTTATTATATATCTTACATATATTGTTGTGTGATATGCATATATATATTTTTATAATTGCTAATCTAAACTCTTTCTTGTCGATGAGGTTAAGACAAAGAAAAACAAATCAAATCAAATCAACAAAGTCGAATTCACAATTCAAGTCTTTGCAACTAAATTTATTAAAATCAATGCAAACTCTGAAAGGATTGTCAAACTGATTAATGCAAGTCATTGCGGGCTGTCAAAATTTAGGCAGCATATCGAAAGCAAGAGAAAGCAGAGTCTCAAAGGAACAACTAAAAATGAATCCCAGTTTCGAAGAGATGTGGAATGGTTCTAACTCTGTAAGTCGCTCTCTAAACCTTTTTTTTTATAATTTTTAACCAACGCTTTGAGCAGCCAGAGAATACAGAAGTTGAAGACAACATCTTTGCATCGATGCAGCCGTATCGCGTGCCACTCTCAATGTCGTCGGGCAGCGACTTGCGTATGGCGATGGCCTATCGGAAGGCGCATGCGTGGAATGTCATTGAGGCGACCAATGAAATGGAGATGATCAGCACGAAGACGATTTGCAGGAAATGCCTGCTGCATACCAAGGTCTGCCGCACCTACGGCCATAATCTGAAGAAGTACGAAATGGATCTGCAGCTAGCCAGAGCCAGGGTCAAGAAATGATTATTAATAAGTTTTTAGAGAAATCGTTGTTTTATTTACGCGAAAGAGTTTCAAAGCATCTTTGGCTGATTGGGCGCCCGCAAACGAGGTATTTTGCTGGGCGGTGCGCCGCTGTCCATTAGCTTATTGGCCTCCGTTTCGGCCAGGACCTGCTTGAGCTCCGCATTGGCGCCCACCTGGCAGTTGCGCCAGGGCGGCAGCAGCAGGCTGGTCGTGGCCGAGGGTGCCGAGAGCGGCTGCACAATGGGCTTGCCCAGCAGCAGTGGACCAAACTGAAAGTCGTCTGTTTTCTCCATTTTGGCAATGCGCAAGTCCTTCACGTCTATATAGGTCTTATTGCTCAGATTGGCAAAGCGGCGCGCCTCGACGAGTTGATTGCGTGCCAAGGCTGCAAGAGGAGTCGGCCATATATTATCGCGAAATTAGCTCTATCCTCACTTACTGTAAGACAAGTCCAACAGATAACGGCGCGCTTCTGGTTCGGCATCAGCGTCATAGCACTGCAGCACATTGTCTATGAAGTTCAGGTCGTATCTTAGGTTCAGATTGGCCTCGGTTAATTTGTATTTGGGTTCCATTTGTAAACCGAACTCTGACAAGTTAGAAACTATGTAGGAAGTTATACAGAACTAATCGATAAGCAAACGCGTTGCCCAACACTCAAACTCACAGTTTAACAACACTCGCCACTGGACGTTGGGCACAGCTTTTCAAGTTCCTGTGGCATTAAGAGTTAAAGCTAATTGCTTTTTAGAGATAGAGCGAGCGAGCAGGCGAATGATTAGCCAATCCAACTTTTGGACCAACTAATAAAAAGTTGCGTGCATGTATGAATATTTGATTCATTTTACACAAGCCATTCAACTTTTTTGATGAATTTTCAATTTGAGGAGGCTTGCGCCTTTGTCTTGCAGCCCCAAACCCGACGCCGAGGCAAATCATTTGGCAAAACTTTTTAAATATTCATAAAATTCGAGCAGACAAGTTTCCAAATTTAATTAGTCAAATGAACGAAACGTTCCCAGCCTCCAGCTCATGCAGACAATAGAGTTTAGATCCGAAGCTTAGAGATTTAGGGCACAAGCCAGGATTCTACATTGAAATAGATTTGCAATTAATGCAAAAATAAGCGAGTTGCTTAGATGTGTGAAACTATGCAATTTTCCAATTGGAATACCCTGTCTTAAGAGGGTTGAAACGGCTTATAATATAGACTAACTATTGCATATAGGATGTCTTTTAGTATACTGATATGGCACTACTTTGAAAGGTTACAGAGTAGCTTATAGTCGAATACTTTTTTATTAAAGTTAAATCAAAAATCTATTTAAAATAGTATTAAAATAAAATTTATAGACAAGCATCTATTTGTACTAATTCCCATTAAAGTTGTACAGCGCAGGGTATCACATTGTTCTAGCCGCTGCTTATTGACTTTGTCTTTGTTTTTCTTAGCATCTTACAATTCACATGTCGGGCTCGTAGGTATGCGATACATAATCAAGTCTCTTTGATATTGCTTCTTTAATATCAGTCATTCAATCAGCACAGGGTATTCCATCATCTTGTCATATATATTTTGTCTATTCGACATTTCCTCCTTTAATATCTGTCAATCACTCAGCCCAGGGTATCCCATAGTCGAATACCCTCTCTTTCACTTCCTTTTGCATATATACAATCATGTACTACGCACGTAAGTTAGCTACTCTCTCTCTTCTATAACTTTCTATCAATAATTCAGTCCCTCATCACTGGGTATCCCATAGTCGTATTAGAGTCACAGCTTAATAATCATATTGGGTTTATATTTCATCTAGTTTCCTTCAATATCAGTCAATCATTCAGCACAGGGTAATCCATAGTCGTATACTCTCTGTTTTACTTAATTTTACATCCTCCCAGTCACAAGCTCTGCTCTAAGGTAAGCCTCTCTCTTTCTGATATAGCTGTGTATCAAGCATTCAGTCACCCATTGCAGGGTATCCCATAGTCGCTCACTCTCTCTTGTTTATCGCTACATCTTCACATTTACGTGCAGTGCTCGTACGTATGGCATTAAGGCCCGTTTGGGTTTATGGTCGACAATCTATTGCCATTTGTAGGCTGGCAAATACGTTTTTGCGCCTCGTTTTCTGTCCGTTTGCCATTTACGTTTGCCCGCAATGTGCGCAGGCGAAATCGAAGTTTTATGCTAATTTTTGCAACAGCACACACACATACATCTCTCTCTCTCTCTCTCCCTCTCTCTCTCTCTCTCTCTTCTCTGCTCTTTCTAGCATTCCATTTAGCTCTGACTGAATGGGCCTAGTGCCATATCTGTTTGTCGTACGCCTGTCAACACAAGGCATTACAAGGCAATTACGAATTTGTTTATGGCATCGAAATCTGAATTTCCCACATGTCGAGCTTAAACAAAGGATCTCAACAATTGGCCAAATTGCCAGAGCTGTAAAATCACCTCAAAATTCAGCTGATTTTACGGTTACTGCATGAGGGAAATATGAGACAATTCAAAAATATTTTGATTCTGGTGAAAGTCAACAGAATGACGTCAAGTTTTTATACAAGAAGTAATTGCAGATTCTAGACGCTACTCCACACTGTGCGATATCAGCCAAAGCATGTTGCAACACTGTTTAAATAACACTTGAAAGCTTTGCTTTGACTGTTCACAAAAACAATCGAAAAGTCGATAAGAATGCATAACATTTAGAAAGCTCATCAATCTGGCCGCTCCACAAGGAAATCAGTTGACTCTTGTCCCCATTTATTGGAAGTTCTATGTACTTTCAAGGCGCTGGGAGTTGGACACAAATGGCAAATGTAATCAACAGCTGTAATCAAAGTGCACACACACAGACACGAATTGTGAAGCACAAGTCAAGCCTTATAAATTGTACACCCATCCATAATCCAGTTCCACTTAACCACCTAGGGCGCGTGTCGCCCCCGCGTGGAAGGAAGAATAATAAGAAGTAGAAGAAGAGGCGAAAAAAGTGCGTCACTTAAAAGTTTTGCACTCACTTGACCAGAAACTTTTATTTTCTGTTAGAAAATTTCCCATGGGTAACCAAAAGCAAGTAACGAAATGTGCGGACTATACATAGTATAAATGTATGAAAAGAGTGAGAGAGATAGGGCGAGAGAGAGAGAGAGAGTAAGAGACAGAGAGAGCAAAGTTTTCGTGTCCACAAATTGAAAATATTTCACAGTCATATTTAATTTTAGTAGAGCGCAAATCTCAGAGGTAATCAAACAGTTTGAGAGCCGCATTTTGTTCAATTTCATTTGGTGCCAAGTTCTCAAAGTGTGCGTAGATATATATTCATATATTTATATATATATAAATATATATATGTGGAACATGTACTACATACACACATTTAATTAGATTCGTAAGCGATCGCCCTGCCCTGGTCGTGGACTTGGCTTATATTTCAACCTTCTTGACTTTGTCGTCTGCAAATTTAACGCAGCACAATAAAAATGTCAAAGTACGTACACAACTTTGCGAAGGAGCAAAAAAGACTATCAATAGTGGCAGAGTGGGGCGTGCCCAACTTGGAAATACCCAGCAAGTACTGCTCACGTACAGTATATGGTGAAAGTATATATTTATATATATATTATTTTTTTATATATGAATATATTTATATATTTATATATTTCTTTATTCATATATTTATATATTTATTTTATGTATTTTTATGTATGTATATATGAATATATTTATACGTTTATATGTTTATATGTTTATATATTTATATATTTATTTATTTATATATTTATATATTCCTTTATTCATATATTTATATATTTATTTTTTATGTATTGAAAAATTATATTTATATTTATATTAGTATATTTATTTAATTTATTTGTAGTGTATCACTCTGTCCTTCTCTCCCTTCACTTTTCCATACTCTCTCTCTCTTTCTCATTCTATCATATTTTCTATCTATCTTTCGATATATGTCCATGTATAATTATGGTTTACTCTCAGGTTGTGTGATCTCTTTAGCTATATTTATGATTGATCCATTTATGTCTATCTCTCTATCTCTCTATTTTGCTCTCTCCCTCTCTGGTTACCTCTCTTTTACCTACAGTCTCTCACTCTTTTACTGTCTGTATGCCCCTTACTTTCTCTGTCTCTCTCATTCTGTCCCTCTCTCTACCTTCTTTACTTTTCCCCCTTCTCACATCGCCCTTTTTTCCGCTCAACATATCTCTTCCGCCTCTCCTCCCGAACCGCTCATTTTGTAACCATTTCCGCAACTCAATCGAACCCATTTCAAACAGCTTCACCCGTACAGGGTATGCAAAGAAAAAGGAAGTAATGAGCACATAGAGAAAGCAAAACTAAATAAATAATTCAGTATAAAATGTCAGAAGCATCAGGAGCATTCGCCATGGTGACTAACAAGGAGAACGGACAGGGAAAGGGGCGACCGGGAGCCGGGCGAAGGGCGTGGGTGAGGGAGGAGGTGGAGCGGGAGGAGAACGGAGGAAGCGGGAACGTCTCACGATTTCAACGGAAGTAGGATGACAGCGACAAGGACGCCGTGGAGTCGGCAGATGCATTCAAGGAAGCAATTGTATTGTCTGACTGCTGTTTTCCACTTTAGTTTGCCACGCCCACCTGGCAGCCGACAGCCGACAGCCGGCCCCGACCACTCGCTGTGTGTAACTTGTTGACGTTGATAGTTGTACGTGCCGAAGGTGAATGGCATCTGTGGACGCGAAATTGAATTCGTGCCTGGCAAGTTTCACACAGCTGAATTGAGTCGCAGAGTCGACAAAGCGTCAGGCGATGTCCTCGCGGGTGTTGGCTACTGTCCTGATGGCTGCTGCCTGCTGCCTGTGCCCGGCTTTGACTCTGGCTCTGGCTTTACCTGCTGACTTCGATATTTTGTCACATTACGTTGACAATTTAGATGTTTGTCTGCGCGCATTCTCGCAGGATTCAATTTGGAAAATGCAACCCGAAGAATTTGCAATGCGTATTGAGCGAGTGCGAGTGCGGGCACCCCCCTTAGACAAGTACCGTTCCGGTCGCCCACTCATTCATTAGAAGCCTTAATGTGCCCAACAAAATCTGCCACATAAATAAGAAAAAAAAAACAAGAAAACTGCAACACTTTTCATTCTCCGCCACTTGCCTAGGGGTTGGGCAACCCTCAACCCTTGAAGATTGTAATGTCGCAGCGCAAACCCAACTGCCATTTCATTGTTGTGCTCTTCTTTTTCTACACATTCTATTTTATATAATGTGTCTCGAATATCTCACTGTGTGTGTGTGTGTGTATCAAAGCGCAGGAAACACGTGCGGGCAAAACATTTTTCAAGCTTTTAGCGCTGCATACAAATCAACCCCGAAAAAAAAAACCAAAACAAAAACTGAGAGTGAGAAGGAAGGCAGAAGGGAGAGCGAGCGAGCAGGAGGGGGTATAAAATCCCATTCACAATAATTTGTTGAACTTCATAAGAGGCAAAAGTGTTGGAGGGGATAAGAAGCTTTCCCACTCAGCAATCTGTTGCATTATGATTACACCAAAAGTCGCTCATCTGAGAGATAACAGTAATCACTCGGAACAGGTGAACAGCTGAACAGCTGAACACCTGAACAGACCAAATTACACTGATGCACTGCATCAAGTTAATGGATGGCAGCTTCGAGTAAGTAATGAACTGCGACTTGCCTTGATTTCCCACACAAGTCTTAAGCTTCAAACAATCCCCAAGCAAAACTCAATTAATCCAATTGAATTCAATTTAGTTGCGCTATTATCGTCGACAATGCTTCCATAATTGAAAGACTTGTGGAAAGACTGAGCTTGGAACTACTATTTACTAATCATTTTGAACCCCATTTCATATAAAGATAATATGAGTGCGAGCGTATTGCTTCTTATCTCAGTTCATGTCGTTTTTCAGCTCTTGAAGAATTTTAAGTAAATTTGATCATTTTTGAGTTATTATATCGATAATTATCGATATGTTGTTAATTGATGAAGATATCATCTACATCTACAATATAAGATAATACGATACGAAATCCAGTTAGACAATGTCAGTTAGGTGGACTCAGCTCTTAGTACTGAAAAGATAAAATAGTATGCTTTAACCCTAGGACTAACTTTTGACGATAGTAAATATACACTATATAATTATAAATTCATGTCTACCGATTTTATAAGCGAAGTACAAATGGGAGCAATAGCAATCAAATAAGAGTTTATCCAATTGTAAACATAAATATTTGCTTAGGTTCAATGAAAAGTTAAACAACTTTAATCAGTTTCAAAAGCTAAAATTAAAATCGATATCTAAGATGATAAACTATTTTTAAAAATTTAACAAATAGTATGTAAAATATCCTAGATTTCAATAATTTAATCAAAATAATTGCAAAAAAAAAACAGCTTCAAGTCTGTTAAATAGCAGTTTAGTGCGCTCTCCCCGTAATAACAGCAGACGATTACTGTGAAGTAACAGAATTATAGCAAGAGGGGTGAGTGTTAACAGCATATGTTATCATTAACATAACAGCGGATAACAGTTAACAGTGCAGCTTGCAAATATGACGCTTTCGCTCACATGCACAAAATGAACGTTTACATAATAAAACATAATTGATTTATTGCTTATTTAAATAGGCAACAAATTCAAAATTTATATTTTTTAAGAGTTCTTAACTTTTTTAAACATTTCCCCAGTTTTACCCCAGCGACGGAACAAAAGCTGTTCAGAGCAAAAACAATGCCAAACTGTTGCTCCTTTTAACAGTGCCGCTTATTCACCTCGATAACAGCCGAAGAGAGAGCAAGCGCTTGCGCATCAGTAGCCGAGTCACTGTTACGGCGAGTGGGTGAGAGACGCCACACTCTCGCTCTCGCGCTCTCTGCTTATTGGCGGTTGTTGTGGACAGCGCTGAAGCCGACGCACTTCGGCTACTCGTTACAGCTGTCGCTGCTGCTATTTATGCTCTCGTCGGCCGCCGCTGCCCCCCGTTCGGCTCTGCTGCTGTTGGCATTGCAGCTGGCGCTGCCGCTGCTGAGCCGCACTCAGTCTGCTTGTTACATTTGAATCGCATGGTGGACTCGGTCGGCTTCGTGTCTCGTGTCCGGCCCGGCAAGCTGAGATTTTCAAAAATACGAGTTTAGTGCACGTGTATGCCGAATACAACACACACACACAACTTAACCCACCCGCCCTCGCACAAACTCTACATTCCATTTGCCATTTGCCATTTGGCGCTGCAATGTCCAAGTCGACGTCGTGTTGAAAGCGTCCAATGTAAATATGTGCACACATGCAGCCACATAAATTAAATGCATTTAAATCCGCAAAAGATTCAAACTAAAGTCAAAATACAATAATTACGGCATAACATTCACAGCACACACACACATGCACACGTATAGTGCGCTATTACAGGGGAAATGTGCTGTGGCGACATCTGTTGGACGACGTGTGTGTGAATTCCAATTTCCGCTCGAAACGCAGACTTTAAGCAAGCTTTATCCGGTTTTTTTTCGTTCTCTCACTTTGACTGTTTTTCTCTGGTTTGTTTTGCTCTGTTTTTGGGGTTTGCATTTTTAATTAAGTTGTTTCTTTTGCGTAAATCCCAAACAGTTTGCGGTTATTTTTGGAAAGTCGTATAAGGTAAGTGAAATTGAGGCATTGTTTACAGTTATTATGCATAAATGACATTTGTGCCACATATTGTAGTGACCATATGTAGAATTTTATAATTTATTTAAGTTTTTTTTAAATTTAAGCTTTATGTTTTTTAATTAATTTATATTTTATATATTTTTCTTAAATATAAAATATAAATTAATAATAAATATATATATACAATAAATTCTTATTTGTGCTTTTTTAATAGTATTAATAAGTTTTTATATCAATTTATTTTTTATATTATTTAATTTTAAGCAAATGTGTTATTAAGATAATTTGTATAGTTATTAAGTATGTAAATATATATACGCATCTCTTACCAAATTTTCTTTTATTTTTTATTATTTTTGTTAATAATTAAAATTCAATTAAATTTTAAATGTATATTTATAATTAACTTTGACTTAGTAGCCAAAGAAATTTCTTTTCCTAATGAATATTTGATAAATTAATTGTGTGCATTAAATGTAGCCTACTTTTCAGCGCTTAGACATTAACATGACATTGAGTCCTTGACAGCCTGAACTATTTCGTATATATTCCATATATTTATATCGCATATATTCCAGCTATGGTTAATAGTTATATATTCTATGCAAGCTCTGCAGCATATTCTTGTTCTGAAATTAAAACTAAATTCGATTATTTATCGCCGCTATAAACCAAACAAAAATTTCAATTTCCTTTTCAAAATTTCTATACAAATGGCCATTGAAATGAAAAGCTAAGCCCAGTGCAGCTTATAAGATAAACAACAGCAGATACAATATTAAAATGGAAACTTTAACCTTGGCTGCAGCACAGCGCTGACCAACGGCTGGTGGACGGCTGGAGGGGGCATGGGACATGGGGCATGTGGCATGTGGCATGTGTAACCGCATCAAGGCCACAGCCGTCAATGCACAAACATTGGCCCACCCTTTTATGGCATGTAGTGGCACGCCCAGTGTTTGTTATTTGTTATTTTTACTGTACACATGACAATAACGCCGCCGGCTGCCAGCAGAGATGTTGCAGCAATGCAGCATGCGGCATGCAGCATGCAGCATGCAGCATGGGACCCAAGCCTTGTATCAAGTGCAATAGTTTCGAGTGGACCGAGGCAACTTTTTCCATTATGAATGGTGCGGTTGCGCTTTTGCCCCATTCATTATTTACGAGTTTCGAGTGCAAACTTGTTTCGCCAGCAAACAAGTGCCGGCCAGAGAATTAGAACCGTCGCTCGACCGCTTAAAAAGAACGAAAGCCGCTATGAGACGCCACTTGAAAGCAGCTCAGCTGCTCCTCAGCCAACTGGCAACTGGCAACTGGCAACTGCCGACTGCAGCTCTGCCGCTAAGTGCTAAAGTTTTCTGCCATAAACCAAGACAAAGCCAAACGCCCACATTGGACAGAATTGGAAGTTAAAAAAAAAACTATGACCAGCTGTAGTGGGCTGCAATCAACTGAATAATACTCGCTTAATAATGTTTTGAAACCAATCTTGAATTGACTTGAGCATTAAGTATATTTTTGCACTGATCCTTAAAAGAGTTCAT